TCAAAGGTAACATCAGAAGAGGAGGAGGATACTTTAAATGTCGAAACGTCTTCAAATATTTGATTTAGTTAATACAATTTGCATTTTTGTATCAGTATTAATAATTTGGTTGTACAACAAACCATGAATGCATTGAAAATTTTCATTATAAATACAAAAAACTTACCATTTTCATTTCAATTAAATTGGAATCAAAAGATTTTTTGCATTTTGCACCATGAATCGTTTGGTGTTGCTGACATGGAAAATGTAGATCTGAGATAGGGAATGCTAACATTGCTACAGTCCTTGGTTTAAAATAGCTCTAAGTCAACTATATGATATTGATGAGGGTCCATCAAAGTACGCTTTGGAAAAAGAAGTAACAAATCATCTCCTAGTTCTATAATGTTATTGTTAAAAAAACAGAGATTGTAACAATATATAAGAGTTGTATTGAATGAGACAACGCAGGTGTTTGCAATATATTAGACTAATTCATTTAGAATAAATAAATAACGGGAAAAAAAGACTGCTAAACCAATTCACTTGGCGCCCGATCACAGTACAGGGGGAGAAACTCTGTATAGAATAAAGTCGCATACAGGGTAACTTTTATGATATTCGTGAATTAAATGTTTAGAAACTAAATATATTTAAAAACATGAAAACATGTGTCTTGTAAATGACACAAGCAAGGTAATCATGAATATGCAATAATGAAATAAGGACCTAACTTGACAATGCTGATGACACAGCGCGTTCTTGGGTTTCAAAAGAATGCGATCGGGCGACTAGTGCAATCATTTACATATTAATGACACTTATTCACTACCAGTTACTCTCAATTAAGACTGTTACATAAACAGATATTTGAATATTTGGTTTGAAAAGAAAATAATAAAAATAGAATGCTGCATTGTACAGGGTTTGCGTATTTTTTATGCTGAAGTTGATTAGAAAAAATAATTCCTCCTACGATAATACAAATATACATATATATAGTAGATAATAAAAAAGAAGTATTTACATATAGAGAGAGAGAATAAAATAATATGGTAATCCAATATTAACCGCTAGGTGTTTTTGCCTTCTTATGCTTCTTCAGGCGGACCTTTAGATACATCTATATTGCACACACATGTGATCAATTGATAATAAAAACAATCTGACAATGTTAAATACTTCCACAGTATTTACAGTAAACCCATCACAGGTTATTCTACGTCTATAATTAATTATTCATAGTAAAACACGCATACATTTTTCTCTATAAATGAATAATAATTTGAATTAGAATTGAAATTTACAAAACAGTCTTACTTAGAAAATTACATGTATAAGCATATGGTGTATAACATATTTTATTGTGAAGGGGCAGGCAGACAGACAGTGGGAGAGACAGAGAACGTGCTTTTTATTCACAGTGAATCTTCGGTTTTCTTACTATATTCATTACCATCTTAAAGGATGTGCATATATCAGAAAACGTGCTGATGTAAAAGTAAGACCTGGCACGTCCTTAAATGACCATAGCTGTTGATAGGACGCAAAACAAACCAAAACCAAACTATGTACATTACTGTTTCAAAAGCAATAAATCGATAGAAAACTTGAACTTCACTTACTGGACGATAGGAGCTTGGAGAGAGTTTTCCTCAATATTTGAACTAATGGAGTGAAAGTTCTATCGATATTGTCTTAACCTAAAAACATAACATCGACTTATCATCAAATACTGTAGTATAACTATTAATTTCACACATTTTAGCCTGTTATCGAATTTGAACAAATAAGCGCATGTAAAATTGGCGCACTTACAAATTATACAATAGCAAAATATACACAAAACTTCAAAAAGTGCAATAAAATGAGTGCCATGTTTGAAACCCGAAATGCTCTGAAATTCTGTCGATCCTAATACGGCGGCAACAGTCAAGTATTTATAGAATCATCACCGTCGGGCATTTCAACATTTCAACATGTGTCGGATGTATCATCATGCGGGTCTTTTTCAATGGTACAAAGACCAAATAGATGTTAACAAAATGAAAAAGATACCAATCAAAACGGAAAATCAACACGGAACTTAAAACAAACCCAAAGTTATCGATACACTTTTTGTACGTGCAAAAGTTTGTTTTTCTCTCATTTATGTTAAATTCTGAACGTTATGTTGGTAACCAAAGGACGTGTATCAAACACGTGAATTAAACTACAAAATATATTAAACACTGACAAATGATATAAAATATTAAAAATGTTTTGATTGAAGCAAGCTTTGAATGTTGGTCATTATGATGGGAAAGGATACAGCAACAGAATCAGAACAGTCAGAACACGACAGGTAAACAAATAAAAAAATAAATGGACGGAAAGTCGTAAATATCGTTACATGATATCACACTTTGTCATATATAGACGTGATTCATCGCTATCTTATCTGTATAGTATCTATAATATCTGTCATTTCTACATTTAAAGATGTAAATGAGTTCGCACAAAGTGGAATCTCTCGTTCCGTCGACTGTATATGGGATATATAAATACTGTTTTTATCAAACAAAACTCTCGTTCCGTCAACTTTATACTGTATATATATTTATCAAACAGTAGAACCTCTCGTTCGGACTCCGTCACCAATATATGTGTTATACGTGTAATAGATAGACGTGTTTATCATTCCATCACAAAAAAAGATGTCGAAGTGACATAACAAAATAACGAAAAAACGAAAACCAGCTAAAGTGAAAAGACGAAAAAGCACCAAATCAGCAAAAATGAAATATCGAGAAAAGACGCCATCATCCGAAACGGTTTGTCGTCCTCTATATCCGGGTGTTTACGTCCAAATAAAATTTGTACGAATTCTTCTTCTAATATATTGTCCATAGTTAGGAATGTTTCTATGCGACATATATCTAGTAACTACGTTGTGAAAATGTCTCTTGTTGAGTGAGTGACGTCACACTGAGTACGTAATGGTGAATATATTACAATTTTGTTATTCGGTTTGCGGGGCGTAAGTTATCAATTTTGACACAAATTGAACACATGTTAAGTCTGCTGTAGTGTCTGGTAGGGTCCATAGTATATGCGGATATATTTGAGTATGGACGGGTCTGAAACGGTCAAACTTGCGGTCGTTATTCATTCTTTCACGTCACAGTCTAGTTTCTATCCTTCTGATGGCGTGATTGATACAAAATGCCCATGCTTTTTTGGAGAGAAAATCGGTTCGAGTAGTTACATAATGTGAGAGTAAGTCCATTAGGTCGTACTTTTTCAGTATTTCACAAACGTCCGGTATGAAACCTAGTGGACGAGGAGTATTCTTATGAAGATAGGAATATAATCGTGTTAAAAATACTTTCTTGGCAAACGTTTCATTTGGGAGTTTGATAAGTCTGTGAAGGAACTGTAGTTTCCGTCGATCTATTTCAGCGGTCATACGAAATAGACCAATCATACTCTCCGATATGTCCGAGCGAGTGCGTGTTGGAAAGTCTTGATTTTTTTGCCGCAAGATGTTGATAACGAGAGTTTATCAATGCCACTTTGGTTCATCGTACTCCATGTTCCACATCCATAGAGGGTAGACGGTAGTATAACCTTTTTGTAAAAACTGACGAGCGTTAGAGGATTTAGGTTCTTGTTGTTTGACCCGACGCCAATAATAGAGAATAGTGAAGCGCGTCCCTTTTTTCAATCTTTTTAGAGCATGTCAGATCACTGGATATCGGTATTCCGAGGTGTTTGTGAGTTTCTTTAGTTTCCAAGTCTATCCCACCAAGCAGTATACATAAACCCTTAGTACTGACTTTCGTATTGCTTTGATACCCGATTTTTTTTAATATATCAATTTGGGTCAGGTTCGTCCATTGACACCGGGGCAGGCACGGCCCATAGGATACATGGAAAGCCATGAAATACGACGTTGCATGCATTGTGACCTCATAATTATGCTGATTCCAACGGGAACCGAACTTACACAAGGGCTGGGCACATTCGGTCATCCAATCGTTATATATCTATAACGTTATGTATCCATATATACAACATTTGATATAGCGCCCTATCTAGCTAACATAAGTCACCTTAAAGCGCTTTACAGTACATGAATATACAATTAATACAATTAGCATATACATTAATTCAATACAATTTTGTATGAGTAATTCGCAGGAGCTGCCTTATCAGGCGCTAATTCCTAGTCATATGCCACCTGGCTAATATCTCCCCATGTGTGTTTGCCTGCGTGTGTGCTGGAAATGTAATGTGGTCTGTTTGTAGCAGGACCGTGCTTCCAACAGTATCATTTATAGTGCCACCTCGCTTGAATGCTACAGCACAAATACCGCAACATCCACCCCAGACCAATTTATACTCCACCTGGGTTGATGGAGTTGTATTGGCAGGAGAAAAACACTTTCTCTGAATATCCATGCGTCGACGACTTCGGGGATCGAACCTCTGCCGCGTGGAAGGGCCGGAGTGTTAACCACTCGACCAGTCCGCCTATATTATAACACTTTCAAATCTAAGTTAATTTTAACATATGACATGCATATTCATTATTGTTCAGAACGACTTTAATAAAAATGGGCCGAAATTGCCCCTGTCCCAATATGGGGACATATATTTTGAAATAAAATCCCACAGTCTGACAGGGGTTAAGGGAGGGATGGGGGATGAAGGATCCTGGTTTAGCCCCTCAATATTTCGTAATTTCTGGGCTAATATCATATCAGTACACAACATGGGTCCTGTTCGTTTATGCGGAACAACTGGTTTGACCGTTTTTAAATGTATCAACTTCGGGTATAAATCCTGGCGGACCTACAAATGTTTATGCAGGCCTTGTAAAAGCGTTGTCAAGGCTCGTCTGAAAGCAACATCAGCTTACTAGGTCCGACCTTATTTAATAAACGAACAACAGTGGTCCGACCGGTTTGACCGTTTAAACGAAAACGCACTTTTCCGGAAATTTTATCCCGTCTATATTCTAGAGTTAGTAAATCCCAAACATGGCGTTGAAGTACTACTACGATTTGATGTCTCAGCCTTCTCGAGCTGTATATATCTTTTTAAAGATGACAAACATTCCATTTGTACCAAAACCAGTTGCACTTAGGAGCGGTAAGTCTGACCAAGTTATTTTTGTTTCGTGACATATACGAAATGCTTGCGAAAGTAGCATAATAATTTGATGATTACCGGCGCCCTATTTTCTGAACTTCGCTCGGAGTTTGGACTTTGATATCTTATTCGTGTTAAAAAGCCGGATAAACATGTTATACAAAATGTATACAACTGAACGGTTTATTTTTCACTTCTTCAGTTTTCGATTGTTTTTTTTAGCTCACCTAGTCCAAAGGACCAAGGTGAGCTTATGCCATACCGGGAGGTGGTAGGGTAAATCTTGTACCCCGTTCCCGGACTGAAACCCAGTACCAGGAATATAAAGATATTTTATAATATCTCATTAATGCGATCGTTTATATTTTTTAAAAATATAGAATAATTTCAAACATTATTTTCTAAATGTGACAATTACAAAAATGTTTATATTTATTATCTAATAATTTTGTTCAAAAGACTTCTTCTTAACCACTGAGTGGAATTTAACTTAATTTGACTGGAAACATCCCTAGGTGTTGGGGATTTAAAATTGTACAAATGGTAGGGTTGACCCCTCAGGGGCCTGAGGGGCGGGGCCAAAATAGGAGTAATTTGTCTATATTTGTTTAAGCGACTTCTTCTCTGGAACTAAGTGATAAACATCAATCCTATTTCGATGGAAGTATTCTTGGGTGATGGGAATTCACAATTGGAGGGGCTGATATAGGGAGGGGCCAAAAAGCGTTTGTAACTTGGACACAGTTAAGATCCCCACTGTATAATTATATATATGTACAATTCTGAGTATAAAGAGAGAAATGCACATATGCTACCTCGATGGCTGGCCCTGGTAGAGGGGGCGTGCTCCCCGACTGCCCCCTCTCCCCTTTGCCGAAATGTACAATGTAGACTAGTGCACTAGACAAAAATTGTAGTGCACCCTAGTGAACTTAAGTGAAAACTCTAGCGCACAAGCTTGTTAACTATAGTGTACTACGGTGTTAGCTCCAGTGCAGACTAATGTTAACTCCATATTAATATTGCACTAGGCCTACAGCATTTAACCCAGTTTTATAGTCTGAAATATAGGTTTTTCATTTATTGTAAATAAGAATGAGACGGGTTCATTCATGTAATGAACATTGATTGAATAAGGAAAATCCTACTTACCGAATTTGTCTCTTATTTCATCTACTTTAATTGTCTGTTTGTGTTTGAGGGCCTGAGTGCCCAGCTGGGCGGGTCGCTTCAGGGTGCATGTGGCCCAGTGGGGGTACAACAAGGTTGGGGAATGGATAATTGTCAAAGTTTGTATTCATATATTTCGGTGGTCTAGGTATGTTGAAATACTGCTATTGGTGGCTACTAGTCGGGGCTTGGTAAAACTCGGTTGCTCATTGATTCGTGACTACTTGACCAGTGCCCGGGCTTGGCCCACATACATCTGTACACTATCGTGACCGTGCACAGTGTTCAACTGACCTTGATTCCCTTTGTTAGAACCTTCCTTCTTCTTTTCTGGTTCTGTTTCTTTTTGGTGGCATTTAAATACCAATTATGCTAGACCACAGCTGTAACTTCATCCAAAACTACCTTTCAGCTTCTTCAGTTGGTTTAAAACACATCAACAGGCTCATGTCTTGCATAGCCTTGTCCACTCTGCCCACCATCTTGAACTCAGTTACACAGTGCCACGCCGGTATCAGAAACTGGGATTTACCTGGCAATGTCAAATACCAGTACCAGGTAATATGGAACTGAATGCCAAAACCTATATTTGCAGAACTCTTTATTTTATATATAGATATAATTTTTGAGAAAGCAAAATGGCAACAGCGCATGCTGGAGTGGCTCCTACACTTATTGATGAGTCCATTTTTTGGGGGAAGAAATCGAAAAAAAATTAACAAAAACATTTCATATTTTTAAAGGGAGAAAGTTGTTTATCATCACATTCATTCATTTAAAATTGAAAATAAAAGTGTAACATCTTTTAGTGTCTATGAGTATAATTATCCTGTTTCTTAGGTATGAATTTAAACATTCAGTTAGATTTCTTATTAAGATGACATGTTCAAAATATCAAGAAGGCAGAAAGGCCTAGCAGTCCATCTTGTGTATATTATCATTATTTATTTTTTTATGTTTAAGCAATCGATGTTTTGGCAAATGTTGTTATGGTCCTTTAACTCACATTGCTATTGATGACAAACTTAATAAAGCCTGACATGCTTTATGTAAGAGTTTGACAGCAATAGAAATGTGTGTTATAGCACCATAACAATATTTGCTAAAATATTTACATTTTGAAAGAGCAGTTATGCTTTATTTAGTTATTTCTAACAGTTTTTGACCAGCAAATCAAGTGTTGACAACAAAATAACTGATGACGTCACAATAGAGATTGATGACGTTACAATAGCAAATGTTGTTATAGTCTCATAACAACATTTGCCTTCGCAATGCATTGCAATGGAAGGATGCAGAGCAAATTTAAACATATCTATATATAATGCAAATGATGGGTGGAGCTGGGGGTGCATTTGGGTTCAGGATCCCTAATCCTCCTTTTGCAGAGAAAAAAACAGACTTTGTACAGCTTGTGTGGTGTTTTTCCATTCCCCCACAACCCTCTACTCTACCAGGACTTTGCCCATGGACCTGATAAGGATCGAGGCTGTCTTCCCCCTCCCCCTTCCTTGATCAGGTGTATTGAGGTATGACTGTGAATGCTCTGGACGATATGTCTTAGGGTGTGCCAGCAACAGTTTTGAAATTTAAAAATTTAAATATTAATATCTTTAAAATCAGTGAACAATTTTCACTCCTTGTGGAATAACTAGGTATTGATTCATTTAAATGTGACTGTTTCAGGAGAACATCATACAGATGAATACAAGAAGTTAAATCCCCTCAGTCTTGTGCCTGTTATTGATGATGATGGATTTGTGCTGACTGAGAGGTATCACAAATTAACAGATTAGTTGTCTGTGTTGCTAAAATTTTATGCTGCAATTGCAGGTTTGATGTGAAACCCTTAAATTACACGTTTTTTTTGTTTCCGCTTACAGTAAAGATTTGTTTTCCATGTCACCAGTTTAAAGTTTATTTAGAAAATTATGATAAAGTTAAATTTATTTTCATAAAATTGTTATCTTTGGACTCTATTTAGCGATAATGATTCATATAATTTTCAAGGTGCACTTATGTATAATGTAATGTGTAAGGTAGCATATAGGCAATCTGATTAAAATCATGTGTTACATGGCTTTGTTAACTTTGTACTACGCGTTCAGGCGGAGCCATGTAACAGATGATTTTAATCAGATTGGCATATAGGTAACCTTAACTCAAATTCTATTTACAGGCACGTATAATTTGTAAGGTTATTATCCATCCTTATAATGAAAGTAGAAAGTAATTAAATATGAATGAAAATGAAAAGACTGATTTTTAAAGTGTACACTTTTATAATATGTTGCAAAAGTTACCATAATAAAAATATACTTAACTTTACAAACTTAAACTGGATTTGGTCTTGAAATCTGTTTTTCTTGCTTTCCATTTGACTGCAGACAAGATATTTTTTATATAAACAATCTCTTGTTACAATCTTATTTCTTTTATGAGAAGTTATGCAAACATACTGAATGATGTAAATTATGGTAGAGTTATTTCCCTTGTATTAAAGTTTGCTATAGGGAGTGTAATTAACTCATTCACCCTTTAGATTTCATGATGAACTATTCGAACCTTTGAATTGGAAGAGTTTAAATTGTGTCTTCAGGGGTGAATAAGTTAGGTTAGCCTTACAGTTGTGTTCGTTTTTACTCTCCAGTGTTGCCATCCTGAAGTATCTGGCAGTAAAGTACAATGTAGCTGACCACTGGTATCCACGGACTGACCTCCAGGCTCAGGCCAGGGTCGATGAATACATGAACTATCAGCACATGAACACTCGCTACAATGGTGGCATGATCTTTCAACAGCTGGTCAGTGTGTGTTAGAGTATATTGTTTGTCATCAGTAACTATGTAGTATATAATCTCATCTCGACTCACCTGCCTAAAAAAACATTTTGATAAAAAGTATAATATTTTAAGTGTCACCAAATTGGATTATTCTCTACAAAAATATCTTTATTTTTGTTGTAATTTTATGATTTCAGATCAGAAAAGGGTTTTAATTTATTAGCTCTCAAGGTCCAAAGGACCTAGGTGAGCTGATGCCGTAACGTGGTGTCCATCGTCCATCAATCATTGATCGCCCTTATGTCAACAATTGAGGATTGGCCTTGGGGTCTGGCCCTATCCCTGGGATCTTATTAGGAGAACATTTTGCCATGATTGCTTAAATATCCAGGCCTCTTTATTGATTTATATGTATATACATTTTCTGTATATTGTTATTGATATAAATGTATAAATGTCATGTCCATTTTCATTATTGATACATATTTCTATTGAAGATTGTTGCTAAAACTAGTTATACATTATGTGTTGTGAGGATTTTTTTATTATTATTAAATCTGTTTTGACAGGTAGATTGTAGAAAAAATAGATTATCTGTACTTGCCCTATGTGCCTCTTCCTTTTTAAGTAGGTAATGCAAAAACATATGTAGTAAAATAAGTGCTTAATCAACACTTTTTTTTCTGTCTATATTTGTAGGTAATTATACCAAGGGCAATGCGAGCTAAAATACAATGGCCAATGGTAGAAAATGCCAGGAACAGATTAGAAAATGTTGTGTCCCATCTGGAAAATTATTTCCTGAAAGATAATAAACCCTACTTGTGTGGATCTGACATTTCTCTAGCTGACCTTCTGGGTATCTGTGAGCTGATGCAGCTGTATGCTTGCTGTGAAGAGAACATTTATGAGTCAAATCCTGTCGTAAAAGCTTGGGTAGATCGCGTGATGGCAAGAACCGCGCCGCATTTTGAAGAAGCAAACAAAATAGTAAACAGATCTAGGAGTGTCTATTCCAAGCAGAAGAAAGCACAAGAGAATGCAAAATTATAAAGAGATTTCTATCGATGTACGATGAAACCCATCCTCAAAATTTTGGTTACATATGGTAGTTGCAACATGGAATATGTCACGGCAAAATTGAAAGCATAAGACTAGCCATTTGATTGGTTTCCAGTGACAAAACTGACCAATCACTAGGCTATTACTTGTCCTTTGTAGATTCGTTAACAGAGAAGTGTCACCTGATTGAAGCAAGTCAATTATATTGTTATGTTTGTGTATGATTCTATATATGTACATCAAACAATCCAACTAATCTTCTTTTATCATCTACAAGATGGCCCACACTGAGCCTTCAATTTTGTCAAGTTGTATTCCAGGGGTTCAAAGGGCATAACCCCTAGAATTTCGAGGATGAGTAAAAACAGAATTTAAATGACATCAATTGAGGTTACAATGCATTTTCTAATTTTATGGTGCATTAGTAACACCAGGCCTAGTGAAAAAAATAACAATCATAAATAAGAATAATTGTTTACAAAAAGAATTAATTGATGATAGGAAATGTTGTTAATGGGACTTGAATAGAGTTTAGGACATAAACACAATTTCAACAATAAATATATATATAAGTAATCAGGTATGTAATTGGTGTCTAGTTTTACTCGAGTTACTAATATATTGAAAGTGAAAACAGTGGCTTGTGCTAGAATCTATGAGAACGATTTAAATCTGTGTACCTTAATGGGTAATCAAGACGTTCATATGTACAAAATGTACTTGAGTTGAGATTTATAGAAATTGATTTAATGGAATTTGATTCTCCATTTAAAAGAATTATTTTAATGTTTTATATTCTCCCATGTAAGTTTATATATACATGTTGTGTATGTAAACATAAACATAAAACCAAGCAATAAATGTATGTGTTAATATATGAGTGTTGATAAGGTAGGTAGGGTGGGGGTGCCCTAAGTTCAACCCCTGTCCCCTACTACCCCAAACAAATGAGGGCTGTCATTCAACATACCATACATAGCTTTCATTCATATAGTCAGAATGAATTTGCTTGTTGAATCAAATTCTTGGACACTGTATAGGAAGAAAAGAAATAGAATAGATGCTACCTTAATACTTCTTAAAAGTACTGTATATCCTTTTTTAATTAATCAGAAATATGACATGCTTGAGATTTTCAGTTTTTCACAATCATCAGCCTTATCAATCATCCTAAAAGCTTAAATGATTTTGTTATTAAAATGATAATCAGATTTTTTAGCAGCACTTTCCTTTTATAACAAACTTGTGTCCATTAAAAAGGTTTGAGGAGAAAGTTTTTAAATAAGTTCATAATTTTTATCAGATGCATTATTTCAAAAATAAAAAACTGTTTTCTGTAATTTTTATTAAAAAAAAATGAAAACTGGAGCTGTTTTTCAGTAAGTCTGATTAAGCTGTATTTTATCTTAGTTCCTTGATATACAGTGAATGCTGTGTAGGTGGAGGCCCGATAGTCTAGTGGTAGGACGCCGGGCTCGTGACCAAAGGTTTCAAGTTCGAGTCACGGCACGGCACTGTGTTGTATCTTTGAGCAAGATACATTACTCTGCTTGTTCCAGTCTACTCAGCTGTAAATGGGTGTCTGGTTGGGCAGATTGTAGAATGCAGCTGTAAATGGGTATGTGGTTGGACAATGCTAGAATTGTATAATGCTAGCTGTGAGCGCCGAAATGGCAGCACTGGCTGTATGCTCCCCAGGGAGTTGAGAAAGATATTGGCTGGTTGCAAAGGCCCTATAACCACGGATAATAATTTGTGAACTGCTTTGAGATGACCTACGAACTACCAGGTAGGTTGTGATGAAGCGGTTTATAAGAAACCCTGAATTAGTATAATTATTATTATAACCTCCAAGAAAATATATATAGTTCTCATGGTATACTCTTCTCGGAAGTTACATATTGGACCGATATCAATATCAGGCCTCTATGGGTTGAATATATATAATGTAGGTTAATTGTGCTACTGTTTGATCGAGGAGGTATTTTGGTAACAAATTACCTCAAATTTTACCATAATTTACATCAACTTATTCGTTATCTTTTTTTAATTGTTAATTTATAAGACAATATGTTTAACATATCCACATTAAATTGTGAAAGTATTATATTTCAATAAAAGAAATACCAATCAGGTTGAATGTTATTTGTCTCTCTGACTGCTTTGCAGTATTTCTGCTATAAGGGGAAATGTCTCTATAATTTCTGACAGCTGACTTTACTTGTTTGGCACACTTTGGCTTAGTGACTTGTTTTAGCGGTTTAGAGTGAAGACACCAGTTATTTACACTCCTTGCCTGACAAAGGAAACCAGCATCACAATTATTATTTTCTTCAATTTCTGTTTGTGTTCAAAACAAACTTAGCATTAATCATCTGTATTGATGTTTTAGTGTAATGCTGCAAATGTCCTTGCAACATTATAACCTGCCCAATGACTGTGGAAGTCAGTCAGCCATGGCCAACTATTTTTCTTTGTCGCTGTTTGCAATCAACGACACAAACGTCCGTACGTGCATCAACAATTTCTTCAAACGACATCTTCTTCTTAGCCACCAATTGGAATTTGACTAAATTTGACTGGAAGTATCCCTAGGTAGTGGGGATTCAGAAATGTAAAAATGGTGGGGCTGAGGGGCAGGTCCAAAAGGGGGCAGTTTGGCTATATTGCTTTAAGCGACTTCTTCTGTGGAACCAAGAGATGGATATCAACCATATTTGACTGGAAGCATCCCTAGGTAGTGGGGATTCAAAATTTTACAAATGGTGGGGCTGACCCCCAAGGGGGCTGAGGGCAGGCTCAAAAGGGGGCAATTTGGCTATATTGCTTTAAGCAACTTCTTCTGTGGAACTAAGAGATGGATATTAACCATATTTGACTTGAAGCATCTCTAGGTAGTGGGGATTCAAATTGTACAAAACGTGGGGCTGACCCCCAGGGGAATGAGGTGTGGAGCAAAAAGGGGCCAAAAAGGAGGCAATTAGGCTATATTGCTTTAAGCAACTTCTTCCGTGGAACTAAGAGATGGATATCAACCAAATTTGACTGGAAGCATCCCTAGGTAGTGGGGAATCAAAATTGTACAAATGGTGGGGATGACCCCCAAGGGGGCTGAGGGCAGGCTCAAAAGGGGGCAATTTGGCTATATTGCTTTAAGCGACTTCTTCTGAGGATCCAAGAGATGGATATCAACCATATTTGACTGGAAGCATCCCTAGGTAGTGGGGATTCAAATTGTACAAAACGTGGGGCTGACCCCCAGGGGAATGACGTGTGGAGCAAAAAGGGGCCAAAAAGGAGGCAATTAGGCTATATTGCTATGAACAACTTCTGTAGAACTGTGTACTGGATATTGATCATATTTGGTTGGAAGCATTCATGGGAGGCATGGATTCAAAATTGTTCAAATGGTGGGGCTGACCCTCAGGGGGCTTATGGACGGGGCCAGAAAGGGCTATTTTGCTACATTGCTTTAAGCAACTTCTTCCGTGGAACTAAGAGATGGATATCAACCATATTTGACTTGAAGCATCTCTAGGTAGTGGGGATTCAAAATTGTACAAATGGTGGGGATGACCCCCAAGGGGGCTGAGGGCAGGCTCAAAAGGGGTCAATTTGGCTATATTGCGTTAAGCAACTTCTTCTGGGGAACTAAGAGATGGATATTAACCAAATTTGACTTGAAGCATCTCTAGTTAGTGGGGATTCAAATTGTACAAAACGTGGGGCTGACCCCCAGGGGAATGAGGGGTGGAGCAAAAAGGGGCCAAAAAGGAGGCAATTAGGCTATATTGCTATGAACAACTTCTGTAGAACTGTGTACTGGATATTGATCATATTTGGTTGGAAGCATTCATGGGAGGCATGGATTCAAAATTGTTCAAATGGTGGGGCTGACCCCCCAGGCTAAGGGGTGGGGCCAAAAATAGTTAATTACTTGGAAATGGTTGAAATCCCCACCCTATAACCATATATACAGTTTCTGAGTATAAAGAGAAGAATGCACATATGCTTCCAGGATGGCTCCAGGGTCTGGCTCCATCCTTGGAGACTTAACCCCTGGGTCATAACTTTGAAACGGTTGAGATCCCCATAACCATACATAAACTTGTTGGGCATGAACATGTTGCAAGGTTTGGTCTTGGGGTCTGGCCCATTCCCTTGGATCTTAGCAAGGAGAATATTTTGCCATGATTGCTTAGATATTCAGGTGAGCGATACAGGTCCTCTGGGCCTCTTGTTATACCATAAAATTTGTTTATAGACTGTATAAAAGTGAATATCACATGGCTATAAATAATGTTTAACATTTCCAGTAGATAACCAAACTTTTTGGACATCAAACGTTGGATGTAATTTAGTAATTTAAGTATATGAGAGAGTAAGTAAAAACTAAGCTAGAATAGATAAAAGATGGATTACAGTTACTTTCGCCGTCAACGGCTTAGGGTGAGACTCGTTCTGATGAACTTTGTTTAATATATGATTTGTACATATTTAAATTTCTTAAGCAACGGTTATAGAATTTACATACAGCAGTGGACCATAGACACGGATAACTCTAGAAAGTTATATCTTAAGACTTCATAATAGTCTTATATTTGCATATTAATTGGATAAAGTAAATATATTCAGCACAAACGATGTGCCCGGACCGGAGTCGCCTAACTTTACTTACGGATTTAAGCTTAGATCTATAGGTACATAACAATGTAATATAATTCCGTGCTTGTGTAGATGCATATATGATACAAATATTGAATGAAGTCAACAAAAACATAATAGGTAACTGCATCACAAGATATTGAAAACTTGTGTCAGTTTGTATTTACGTACATGAACATTTCACGTTTTTTTTTATAGTTATAACAACTATCGATATATATAATGCAGCCTAGCGATTGGTCAGTGTCTTTTTTAACCCGAGACCAATCAAACAGCTATCTTCTTGCCTTCAATTTTGCAATAACCTATTCCAAGGGTGCTGAGAGCGTCAGTTAGGGTAACCCCTTGAGTATCAAGGATGACACAGCAGTTGTGTCACTACCAATGATGATTGTTTTGTTTTTTTGTGGGTGTTATAAACAGTAATAATAGCATAGCAATGGATGCTTTCTCTTTTCTTTTTTTTTTTTTTTTTTTTTTTTTTTTTTTTTTTTTTTTTTTTTTTTGCGAAGAGATGTAACACTTGATTATCTGTTTCGATTAATTGTTTAAGGAATTTGTCATATTTGATATGATATAAGTCATTTAATTTTCTGCCGGAGTAATCTCAGAAAAATCTCAGATACACTGATTTTATTCTGACTGCCGGACTTTCAAAAAATTTCTCTGCTGTCAGATCTATACGGTTGCAACAAATTCTGACAAGAGCGTGGAAAAAGAAATAAACTTAAAATTATTGGGAATCATAATCACTTTATCTCACTCAGTTACCTTTTGGTTGTCAAACATGTTATGAGAAATTACGTGTGGAATTTTTGATTCTGTTCTAAAATATATTGGTAAACCAAAAATACTGAATATCGTGTATAATTCCTGGTAGAACATATTAATATATGTTGAATATGAAACATTAATAATCATCCTTCATATAGGAAATATATAGTGTGCACCTCTGGCCGGTAACTATGATAGTATTATCATATTGTTTATGATATTCGTGTATATTCTCACATATTCCATATGCTTGTATAGATGTGTTACTTGAACATTGAACAGAGTTAATGCTGAGAAACCGTGTTAAGTCAAGGTATCCGGAACTTATTCAGTGTTCAGTTGAAGCCCTAAGCATTACACATGGACTGTGGGGTCTTCCAAGTTTTATTTACACTTGTATAATATATACGGTTTACAGTACATATTTCCTGCACATTACAGAAAATCTCTGTAAAGTATAGTATGGTTTTTGATTAACTACTGATAAAATAATGCAATCCGCCGGCATATCACGTGGTTATGTTCAGAGGCTGTCATTGGTCTAATGCTACTTCACTGCTCGAGCACAATATGTGGTGATATCACGTGGTAGTTTTCAGAGATAGAATTGGTCAACTGTCAGAGGACGTTAATGAGATTGCTCTGCAATTATATATCGATCTTTATATTAACATATAATATGGTGGGCAGTGTTTAGTATTTTTATTACAATACAAGGTAACCCCTGCAGATTCGAACAAATAGGTCCTCTGTATTAGACTGAGTTTAATAACCTTGTTAAATACCGAACTCGGGGTTTTCTAATAATGAATAGGAAGGTGACAAGTTCACAGCATTTTCGGGCATTGTATGACATATAAGAAGATATATATTAGCTGGGGTAGGCGAGATTTGTTTCCATATTAATTATCGAAACTCGTGTGTTACTACAATAGGTGTTTTCTTTTGTCAGGA